GTCTGGCTCTGATATTTCCTGTGCATTTATTAAGTAGAAAGAGAAGGCCAAAAAGCTGAAGCCAAGTTTGTTTCCTTCTGTACTCTGCATTCGCTTGTCTTCTCTTTCACATCCGTAATCAGTGCAGAAGCTGTTGATTGAAAGGTTATTATTGCATGCTGTCAGAAGTAGAAAAAGAAGGTATTAAAAAAATCACAAAGAATTGTGGGTTGTGGATATTTTTCCTACTGAAATGCTTATATCCCAGCCCCTCCCAGGGCAATTGCTCCTCTGGGACTTGTTATGATGCAAGAGTACTTTTTTAAAGCATGGTAGAGTAAGTAATTTCCCTTTGGGCAAGGAAAACATAGATGCAAACTTGGAACATGGGTGTCTATTTCCCCCCAAAAGCAACAGTAGCTTCCTCAGCACAGCTAGAGAACCTAAGAGCAAGGTTCAAGAGAAAACAAAAATGATTTTGCAACCTATAGCAAACTCTGGAAAAAACTGCGAGAGAGGTATTACTTAGATGTATGTGTCTGAACTCAAAAGAATTTGTGAATTTGGCAATATTCTTAGACTTTGCAAGATCAAGTTTATGACCCTGTCATTATATGGGCTGTCAGAGCGAGCAACAGAACTTGATAAAGGAGCAGTTGTTAAAATAAACCCCTTACGTTGCATCTTTTTTTATAAATATGATTGGGATTACCGGATCTGTGACCATACAATAAAATTTGTGTTATATCATACGAGTGGGAAACATTGCTCTGTTTTATGATGCAAAGTAGGCTTCTTTTCAAAAGACATTTTTCCTGAGGTGCACCTTCCTTTATATGTTTTAAAAAGCAAAATGAATTTCCACAGCAACCACCATCTCCACAGTAGAATAATTCTGGAATAAACTCTTTCATTTACACCATTCATTTTGGAGCCAAACTAGATCCAACAGTGCAGTCACAGGTTTCTTTTCATGTGCCTATCCTCCAAGATACATATGTTCATACAGGGAGGAGGAGGACACGGAAACATTCATCATTACCACATTTTACCACACCCCAACTCATTGATCCAAGATTGAGGGAGAAGGTAGGAAGTGGTGGGGCTCAGGTTCAGCATCCCTCTCATTTGTACTCATATGACCCTAGTAAACTGCCTTATACTATGACTGCTTCTCTAACTAGCCTAGTAATGTTCACTTTGATTGGCAGCTGCACTCCAAGGTATCAAAGCACAGGAACTTTCCCATTACATGCTACCAGATTCTATTAACTAGAAATGCCCAGAACCACAAGCTTCCAACCCCTCAGTTATAGCTCATTTCACTATTAAAATCAAACCTTTCCCCACCCTGAATGATGTGGACACATGAGCTTCTTTGTGTCTACTCTGACCCCTAGGCAGGGTCTTCAAATGCATCATTGCAGTTCCCACCATCCCTGACCACTGGTCCTGTTAGCTAGGGGTGGTGGGAGTTGTAGGCCAAAAACATCTGGAGGGCTGACTTTGCCTATGCCTGTTCTAGATTATGGGGCCCCCATGGTGATTTGTGAAAAGAAAAATCTTGTATACACAAGAGCAAAATACAAAACTAATGAAATGTGTTGTTTGGTTTTCTATGGGCACTGTATTAAGGAAGCCCTGAGTTGCCCTGTCTAAGGAATACTAGGGTCATACCCATGCTAAATAATTTGAAAATGTATCTTTTTTTGGGGGGTGCCTTATTTTATTTCTACAAATTGCATTACACTGTTCAACGTCATCACCTGAAAGATGTAAAGAGTCTTTGAATCAAACATATTTATTGCATAATTTTGAGATAATGCATGCAGCATCCCACTCCTGATATAAATGGTGTGTGGCATTTTTCTGGATAAGATTTCTCTTTCTCCTAAATGAGGGCATTTTCAAAATAAGCTATATGAAATGAGAATGAGAAAGAAGTAACTCTAACTAGGGAGTGGTTCCTTCCAACTCTAATTATTCAGAGCTAGCTTTTCTTTGCACTAACCAGACTCTTAATGAGAGCTGTCATAGCTGAATAAAATGCAATCATTAGAAGTACTGTAGCATTAGTAATTATGCCATATGTGAATGTGTCCTTGCAACAGTACTTCACAATATTTAAACCAGTACCGTTCTGCCACCAGCAATGTATTGAGGACTCTCTTAACTCAGAGAAGTGGGATATGCAATTATGCTTTTTAATTAAGATTTGCTCAGTGTCTCCAGAGCAAAGCCTCCTACTACTCAAGTGGGGTGGGCTGACGTACATAACGTTGATAATGAAATCTTATTCTGAATTGCTGTAGACAGCTTTGCAACTTTGAACAGATAGAGATGATAAAGCACGCTCAGCAAAACCACACCCACAACCCACACAAGGGTGCACAATTTATTTGTGAAATAGCTATACCGTATAGGCCAATGTTTAAATCATAATGATACTAATGGTATGTTCTTCAATATCTCATTGTTCTATATAACATTTTCTTTAGTTTTGTCAACTGGCCGGGTCGTTCCTCCTCAGTTCTCTCCCTTGCCACATACACATACATTCAATCCCTTCTCCCCCTTCCCAGCTAGTTCCTCAGAGTTTTTGTTGATAAAACTGGCACTCTAAAGAAAGACCCTTAGGGATTATTTCACCAATTCAGTAATTCCATTTTTGTTTCAGTTTCCTATTCAGAAAATAGGACAATCTATCTTCTTTCTTCTTCTGCTAACATTAAGCATTCATCATGGGTAACTATATTTCTTATTTTGCCAATGGGCACCTTCCCCTCACTGCAATAGTCAGTAAATTATGCTTGTTTGTCCTGAATGACTTATATTTCACACCTTCATCAGATTTAATTCAAATGCAAAACATCTGCCCATGAATGCATCGGCTACTCTTCCATGTATATTTAATTTGCTATATTGCTGTAAGATCTATCATAAAGACAGTCATGCATGATATTAAATGCAGTTTATGATATAAGAATGTCATTTGTTTAATTTGTTTTAAAATAATTCACCTCTGGCATATTTCACATTATAATTATGTTAATACCATTACTCTACTCTGCAATGTAGTGGTCTTGTGTCTTGCACAAGGTCACTTCTTTTCACACATCAGACAATTAAAAAGCTGCTGTCAAAGAAGTGACACAAAATTTATTTTGTAAATTAATGACCTAAAGGGATTAAATAAGCGAGCTGGCCCAAATGGACTTCTGACTTTAGAGAAAATTTTGCTATTATACCTGACAAATGCAGCTGCCACAGATAGAGACCAGATTTGAACAACACAATTGAACAATTGGTGAATATTGTGTTGATCAGAGGCATACCTGGGGTTCTTTGCATCCTTGGAAAGGAGCTGTATCAGCAACCCCACTAAGGAAAAAAAAATTTTACTGCAATAGCCACATTAGATATTACTATTTTTTATGTGGCCCAAGTACTTGCAGAGAGGGTGAGGTGAGGAGGAAGGGCAAACAAATTCACACGTCTTTGTGTCACGGTGCAAGAAGGACAGGAAGTATCTCCCTTGTTTGATCTCACCACAACAGTGGCATTGCATCGCTACACACACATATGGTCTATACACCATAGTCTGATACATGATTTTTGCACCTTCCTCCGCTGGGCCTGCACCTCTGCAGCGGGCCAGTTTCACCAACCCTTAGGCATGCCTCCGGTATTGATGATACTGATGATGTTCCTGAGCAGTGTGAGCTGCCTCCAATTAAGTGTTCAGGATGTGTCAGTGGATTGCTTTCACTCAGCATTGCCTTCAAGTCAGGTTGAACAGTTGACTATGGGGACCTTTTCCCTTCCCACAGTAGCATATTTTTTTGAATTGCTTGAATCATCTGACTTTTTTGCTTTGGCCATTTTTGTGTGTGGTATACTATGGTCTGAATTGCACAGGTGGATGTATGTAGCACAGGCATAGGCAAACTCGGCCCTCCAGATGTTTTGGACTACAATTCCCATCATCCCTGCACACTGGTCCTGTTAGCTAGGGATGATGGGAGTTTAGTCCCAAAACATCTGGAGGGCCTAGTTTGCCTATGCCTGATGTAGCAGATGATAAGCATGCATGGGCCTAAGGAATCCTAGTTCCTTAAAGAGTGACATTTCCAGGGTAAACCGAAAGTGGTTTCAGAGTTCCTTTCTTACTGCTGAAATTTGCATTTCCCATTTCACTTGTAATTTGCACTACTCATTTCACCTGTAGACAGCAATTCCAGCAAGTACCTAAATTTATATTTTTCTAAGTCACATCTCTGGAAATTAAAAGGTCTGAGGAATGACATCTAGTTCTACCCATCATTTCCCAAACTACCGCTCCTTTCTTTACACTGTGATTTCCAACTTCTATAATTAATATGATGCATTCACAAAAATCCCTATCTTCTCACAGTTTTTCTTCTCTACTTCTGTGTTAATTAAATACACAACTAACTTTCATATCTGGTAAAAGTAAGTAGCATCTAAAAGAGGGACATTATTAAGAGCTTATGGAGAAACACACTAACCTTATATCAAAAGTTTTGATGTTAGAGGTAAGGAATTAAATATATACTCCAAAAGAGCAGTTCCCAAGCTGTTTTACAATCCACTAAAATCAATGAGATTTGCATAAAAGTAGCACTTGGCTGACTTTGCCTTCTAAATGCTTTCATAGGACATGTTTAAGAACTCATAAAACTATTAATACATTTTGATGACCAGAAACAACAAAAGCAACCAAACCAATCTATATCTCATAATGGATTTGAGAGCTGAGACAAGAAATCCCACTCACACTCAAAGATGAAAATGGGATGGTAGTGGTATTATTGTCCACAAATTCACTATTTTTTTCTCACTTCCACATCCTGTAGATAAGCTGATCCTTAAGCAATACAAAATCTGTTGAAGAGGCAAGGCCTCTGTTATTACCCTGCCTTCAGATCTCATAAACAAACTTGTCACCTACTGACAACTTCAGCAAAGTTGATGGAGAACTTTTTTATTTTGTTTTTATTCTACAGAAGTAACACTTTTGTCTTTCTGAATTCCATCAATAGGCAAACAGCTAATAAGATCAGTGTCGAATCATTCTATTTCAACAGTACTTTTGATCAAATGATAGCAGTTTCTATGTAAGATGACTTTTTTCTTTAAACCTCAAAACAGCTTATTGGAACATCTTAAAAATCATTAAAAAGCCAGATCAGATCATCTTGTTCAGGACTGTATTTCAAACAGGTGAGAGGCAGATGCCTCCAAGAAGCCCAGAAGCAGGGCAATGGCCTCCCATGTTATTTGTCCCCCTGGAACGTATTCGCTCTTTACACAGAGGTTCCATAATTGTGGCTAAAAGTTGTTGACAATGCTATCCTCCAATTAATATGTATAATGTCCATTTAAAGCCATCTAAGTAGTGGCCTTTGTATCTTGCAGCAGCAAATTCTTAAATCAATTATGCAATGTATGAAGAAATACTTTCCTCTGTCCTAAATTTCCAACCATTCAGTGTTACTGGATAAGTTCTAGTATTATAACAGGGGGTGGGGAATCTGTATCCACTTTCTCTATACTATTCATAATTTTGTTATGATTTTGTCTTCTTCCATGTCCCACTTTTTGTTTTTGTTTTGTTTTTAAAGTCCCAAAGAGAGGTAATTGAGTCCCACCCACCCCAGCAGTTTTAGTTACAGCTTTCTCCACAGAGGGGAAAATATGCAGCACTGTCTACTTTCTCTTGCAAAAGGAAAAGCAGCTAGAATGGTGTTGTGGGGGAGGGGGGTGATTTTCAGTCAGAAAGAATACCAGAGGAAAAGGGTTAAGAATTACACACAGGCACACATATATTCATAGCTATATAAGATTCTGGTCTTCCATGGTAGAATTGCAGCTCCATTTGGTAAAAAGGGAAAAAAATTAAAGTGACTATCACAAACAGTTTGGACCTCCCATTTATTTATTTATTTGCTTTGTCAGAGGTGTGTGCATCAGAGAGTATGTCACCAATGCTATCTTATTTTTGGAGGCTATCATTTCCACTTACAGTGACATTGTATCGTATGTTGTTTTTCTTACATTGCCAAGTTTATTGAAATGTATGCCCTATTTGAAAAGATACAGCAACATCACCTCCAATATGCCCTTCCCTATCCTTTCTACAGATTTTTTTTTAGGGATAACTGAATCCCATTGTTCACCAGGTCTCTAATATGTCCACTGTATCTATGCTCTCTATTAGTGCCATCTGTTGCCCTACCGTAGCTTTCAGGCTTCTAGAATTAGCATATAAACACTTATACATTAAATCCTTCCCAAATGTCCATTGTGCAATTTCTCTTATGTTCTCTTTAAATAGCAGGCATTTCATTTTGTATTCTCTCATTGTGAAATTATACACTGGGATCCCTACTATGAGGACCTAGGACATTTGCACCGTCATCTCTAAGGATGTTGTCAATTTTATCTATTTCTGAACTCTTCCTATTTCCCCAACTCTTCCTATTCCCCTCATCTCCCAATAAAATATATATTCATGAATATTGGGGGGTTTTAAAATTTGTAATAACTTACAGAGCAAGCAACTTTTTTATAGGCTTGTGGTACCAGCACTCTAGGTGGTAGTTATATATATATGGGGTATGAAGATGACTTTCAAACTGAACTTTTATTTCTTTTGTTAGTTAGTTGTGAAGTCTCCAGATAGTCAGCATAACATGCCAAGGAGATCATTTTTTAAAACTGTGCTGCTTATATATAAAGTGGCTCATTGTTATATGGCAGAAATCTGTGGGAAAGATGCCCATCAACCCCTAGAAATAGTTAACCAGGGAGAAGAAATAAAAACAACTCAATCATCTCAGTTCCAACACAGCAAAAAATGCAGCATCTCAGTTCCATATCCTCATAAATACTGAAGACAGGCACATAAAGCTTACAGCGTTGACCCCAGTGAAGCATGAGTAATGTAATATATAGCAATGTAGTGTTTAAGGGGGGAACTGCTATAATGTGATATGATGCAAAACTAGCATGTAATTTGATTGATTTGCAAACAATATTTCAGGTTATCGTCAACCTTTTCAGACCCAAGACCCACTTTTAACCTAAACATGCATTTGGGGGACCCATTTCCTTTCCCCCTCCTAAATATCTGCATGGTGGTAGTACTTCCGCTGCAACCCACCTTGGATCAGGCCACAACCCACTTGTGGGTCCCAACCCACTAGTTGAAGACCAGTGCTGTAAAGAAGGTTCAAATTCATGAGCGAACATGTTTTGTAAAATAACAGATTGCTTTTACTTCACTGCAGAAAACACAGCTAATTAACAATGCTTAAAACACTAAAGTTTGATAACTTGGCAGAGGCATAGCCAATAAAAGCTCAAGGGGATCACTCATTACTGGATGCTGCCACTGCTTCCAAATAAACATGTCCCAAGTCAGCCAGGCAACACAAGACTGCAGAGTGTATTGACAAATAGTAAATAGCAACAGCAACCTTAAAGAAGGATTCCCCATTGTTTTTCTGAAAATCCGGTTTTCTTACTGTGCTTTTTGCTCACCAGTTACTATACTAGTGAAAGTGGTTGGCGCCTTCAATCCTTACCCACTCCACCCCTATCAGCTGGTTTGCTGGCCCAGTTCATGAGGGGAACATCCTAGCAAGCCTCCTTCCTGGATCATCCCACTCCCCACTAACTGCCTCAAACAGCATCTACCCACCTTGTACTCCTTGAGAGGAGAAGCAGTTTTAAGGTGGCACAACTGGTGCGGTCACACCGGCCACCATGCTGCAGGGGGCACCAAAACAATGCTGTAGAACAATGCTAAGAGAGGGAGGGTGCCATAAAATTTTATCCTCTCACAGGGTGCAACTGAAATTTGAAAGCCCAAAGTCTGCCCTGCAGACCCATGTACAGTCTTTAATGAACTGTATCCATAATGGAGCTGATCCCACAAAGATGAATTTGCCAACCAGTCAGCCCATGCAGGGTTCAAATGCTGGTTAGCAACTCTGCAGAGGAGTAGCTAGAAGCATCTTGGTCACAGCTGAAAGTTGTGCAGTGCGCCTCCTCCTTGGTCTGAATGGAACTGGCAGTGGAGTGGACCTGTACCTGTGTGAGATAGGGATGTTGTTTGGATTACTGCAAGGTGCTCTATGTGAGGCTGCCTTTGGGAAATGTTCAGAAACTTCACTGGGTTCAAGATGCTGTGAACAGACTGCTAACTGGAGCCGGTTACAGGAGGAACAGAAACTCATTGTTACAACAATTCCACGGGTTTTTGGTCCATTTCTAGGCACAACTCAAAGTGCTGATTATGGGCCTGCTTGGGTTTTGAGATCTCCAGGGAAGGTACTTATCTCAGTCCCACCACCCTCATAGACACATTTGGACACAAGGATGGCGTTCTCAGTGGCTGGTCCCAGATTGTGGGACTCCCCTCCACAGGAGGCTAGGCTGGACCCCTCTCTACTTACCCTTCACCAGGAGGCAATTTTGTTGTTGTTTAGAGAGACCTTTGTGTTAGCCATTTTCTCAAGCTCCCAGATGTGTTTGAACAAAGCAGCATTTCCCCTGTATCATGGGGAACATAGGAAGCTGCCTCTTACTAAGGCTACCTACACAATAGTGGCTTAAAATGCAGCAAGGTTGTTTCCCCCACCCCATTGTGTTTCAAGTTGTATCACTGTACACACAGAGAGGGGACAGGTACATCTTCATCTGATGTGCATTGCCTGTTTGGTTTCCCCATGCCAGCAACCTCTCTCTGCTCTTGTACTCCTATTCATGAATGCATCATCTGCATATGCACAACAGCTGTCTCAAGACAGATGGATAAGAAATTCAATTTTCTATCTATTCCTGTTCTCCTGCATGTTTTGCCTAAAAATGGAGGCAGAGCTGAGTGATAGTTGGCTGTATTTATTGAGATGAGGGGTGCCTTCCTTCCTTCCCAGGAGGCCTGAAACCTGTGAATATCTACTTCCCCCTCCTACACTCCATCTTAAGACTCTTACTGGACACAGACAAGGATGGATTGACATCTCTCTCTGTGTGTGTTTCTTTCTCTTTCTCTCTCACACATACACCCTTGCATATATTTTTTACCATTTAGCCTGAAGAAGAGTTCTAGGAAACTCAAACACATGCTTTGTGTCCTTTTCATTGGCCTAATAAAAGTATTGTCCTAATATGTGTTGTCAACAAATTAAAGATTTGGACAAATGGATTAGAAATATTTAATGGATGGGACATATCATCATAGGGGAAATGAATTTTATGCCAAGGGTTATATCAGAGATAACAAATGCCTTAGGAAACCCTTCCTGTTCTGCAGAGACTAATAGTATAAAGAGATATGGGAGTTCTAAATGTGGAATGATATTATTTCTCTCACCATTCCCCTACTTCTGAGATTTGTTACATTAGTCTGATATTACACATGGCGCAGTATGTCAGATTCAGATCATGGTGTGATTTCTAACAGTTTGGGGTATGTGAGAGTTTTTAACATTTTTGTTTGATCATGGAAGTATCCTCTGGTGTAATAAATCATTGATGGGGGTTTTATATAAAAAAATGGGTGAATAATATTATGCTAAAATTTAAGTTAGCATTAAAAGATCAGTGCTGGATCACATACATTCTGATCCAAAATAAATTAAGAAGAGTCCTGCTGAATCAGACCATAGATCCATTTCATCCAACATTCACAAATTTGGGCAGATAAGGCATTGGGTCCCATCTTTATCCTATTGGGGACCCCACTAAAGGGATCCGGGAAGGGGTGTCTCTGTCCAGGAGTCCATACAGGGACTAATGGGCCATAGCACCTTTCCAAGTGGCAGCCAATTTCAACTCAATACTGATGTCCTAAGTCTCATTTCTACTTTGGTTGGCCCCACACCAGGGCCCCATGCTTCCTGCACTTGGGCCCACAATGCAGCTAGATTATGGACAATGATCTTATGGAGAGCCCTTTTTAGGTGCCCATGATGCAAAGTAAACAATACATACTCTCTTCCTCACCACCCGCCATTCTATGCTTTACACGGCACTCCCTATACTGTCCTGATAAAAGAAAACAAACAAAGGTTTGCCAATCCCACTACACACACACACACAATACTGTGAGCATGTGCAGTTTTGCATGTTACACTCCTTTTAAACATACTGTGATTATCACTACAATAAAACGGAGTTTGCTTCTGCTGTCCTGAGGCTAAACACAAGTATCTGGAAATAAGCATTATTTTGTTGCAGAAAATGGTAATTTATTCATAAGAAACAGAGTATTTGTATATGCCCAGATGTCTCCTCAAGCTATAACACGTGTTTTAGAATGACAAGAAATTTTATGTGATGAACAACATCAGCCCCAGTGGGCCCAAAATACCCATGCTGTCCCATAGTGTGCCCCCCCTGGGTGGTCCTGCCCTAGCTGCATCACTGCTCTGAACATGATTTCAACAAGCTATCATGGGACCAATATCAACTGACCAACCTATCCTCCATTAATTTCTATAACCTTCTTTAAAGCCATCTAAGCCCATAGGCATCACATCCTGTGGCCGCAAATTTCAATAATTGATTTTATCCTGGTTTAAGAACAGGATTTAGACTGGACATATTTGGGTACTGAATGATGTTATAAAATAATGGGGTGTCCTGATAAATAAACAACTAATCTCCCCTGGATAAATTGATAACACTTGCTGTGGGCTGTGGCAGAGGTGGATTTAGGGCAGCATAACTGGTTCAGTCGCACTGGGTTCAGAGCCTCGGGGGCGCCACAACTATAATGTACAGTGGAAGGCAAGATGCAGGGGACACAGAAATTTGGTGTTGCACAGGGTGCCAGTGAAATTTGAGGCCCCAGGGTCCACCACTGCCTGTGGTCTTACAGTCTCATGGTTACCCAAAGGGTTGACCGAACCCAAAGGGTGCTCATCAATGGTTCCTCTTCATCCTGGAGAAGAGTGACTAGTGGGGTGCCACAGGGTTCTGTCTTGGGCCCGGTCTTATTCAGCATCTTTATCAACGACTTGGATGAAGGACTCAAGGGCATCCTGATCAAATTTGCAGATGACACCAAACTGGGAGGGTGGCTAACACCCCAGAGGACAGGATCACACTTCAAAACGACCTTGACAGATTAGAGAACTGGGCCAAAACAAACAAGATGAATTTTAACAGGGAGAAATGTAAAGTATTGCACTTGGGCAAAAAAATGAGAGGCACAAATACAAGATGGGTGACACCTGGCTTGAGAGCAGTACATGTGAAAAGGATCTAGGAGTCTTGGTTGCCACAAACTTGACATGAGCCAACAGTGTGACGCGGCAGCTAAAAAAGCCAATGCAATTCTGGGCCTCATCAATAGGAGTATAGTATCTAGATCAAGGGAAGTAATAGTGCCACTGTATTCTGCTCTGGTCAGACCTCACCTGGAGTACTGTGTCCAGTTCTGGGCACCACAGTTCAAGAAGGACACTGACAAACTGGAACGTGTCCAGAGGAGGGCAACCAAAATGGTCAAAGGCCTGGAAACGATGCCTTATGAGGAACGGCTAAGGGAGCTGGGCATGTTTAGCCTGGAGAAGAGGAGGTTAAGGGGTGATATGATAGCCATGTTCAAATATATAAAAAGATGTCACATAGAGGAGGGAGAAAGGTTGTTTTCTGCTGCTCCAGAGAAGCGGACACAGAGCAATGGATCCAAACTACAAGAAAGAAGATTCCACCTAAACATTAGGAAGAACTTCCTGACAGTAAGAGCTGTTCGACAGTGGAATTTGCTGCCAAGGAGTGTGGTGGAGTCTCCTTCTTTGGAGGTCTTTAAGCAGAGGCTTGACAACCATATGTCAGGAGTGCTCTGATGGCGTTTCCTGCTTGGCAGGGGGTTGGACTCGATGGCCCTTGTGGTCTCTTCCAACTCTATGATTCTATGATTCTATGATTACCACCAATAGCACCAATGATGGGCTGGTTCACAATCGCATCATTACCCACCAATCTGTCATGGGAGGCCTGCTATGGTTTACTTATCCCATCACTTTATTACTGTATGCAGAATCTATGCCACAAATTACATTGATTAAAAGTACCTACTATCATAATTGCTTGTATCTCACTGATGCGATCATTTAGTTTCATATAAATAATACCTTGTGTAGCTTTTATCACATACTTTACTGTATGAGATGAACAGTCCAAGAGACTACAGTCTGAAAGTCAAATACATTATAATTTATTTGCAGGTTAGTTATATAAGAATAACTTTAAATATATTACGATTGCCTTAAAGATGTTCCATTTACATTAATTATGTTACTGTTGCTTTAAAGAGGTCTCTAGACTTGCTCTATTTCTTACTCCAATGACACCATTAGCCAAATACCCTGCTAATCTCCACCTAAGTTAAGTCACTGGTTGTTTAGCAGACTTTACCTGTTCTCTCTTACAGGCATTGTTGAAGTTCATACTAGATGTCTGGTCAGGGACTTGCCGTTTCTTCAAGTTTAACTGCCAACCACTGACACACTGATCCAGCTCTTCCCAAAGACTGCAGCTAAATTCATTGCCACCCTCTACAGACTTTCTTAGTTTCTGCCTTCAGTAATTTTACCTTTAAGGAACTGACTCCTCTCCCTTCAGCAGCTGCTTGGTACCGCAAGGATTTCTCAAGCTCCTGGCCCCGTTCTGGACCCCTCCTTTTCTTGTTGCTGTTCTCTGCAGACTCTCTCAGGCTTGCTTCTTTGCCCCTCTTCACACTCTCCCCAAAACTGCCCATATGACAGAGCCAGTAGCAGCCAGCAGGGTAATGCCATGTTGCTCACATGGCTTCCCAATGCCATGCACTGCTGTTGGTTACTGGAAGGAAGAGAAGCAAAACCTTGGGGGGAACTCAGTATGGGGCAGTGTTGGGAAGAGAAGTGAGCAATGCTGGCCACTACTGGACTAGCCCTTAAACAGTCTTGAACTTGCCCTTTTATACTATGCATTCAGAACCCTCTAACCAACCACCAGGTTCTTGCTTGAATTCCACACTCTCTTTGGCCTAGATCTATGGACCAATAAATTTGAAAGGAATGTCCACAAAATGACCTATCACATTCTGCCCTTTTGAATTCCATTTAAAATCTGAATTCTACAGCAACTGCCATAACCGAAACCTCAGAAATTACCTACTCATCTCTTCAGCAATTCTATCAGTTTAACTGATTCTTGGCAGACCGCCAACTGAACTCCAGTACAATGGATGTCACCAACTTTGGTCAGGCCAGGTTTTCCCCTTTAACACAGTAAACTATCTACAGTCTAAACAGTGTTCAGTACATAACAGAATTCTTTCATTTATACTTCTCAGAAAAGTAGTTTCTTCACAGAAGGTAGCCATCCCCACTCTCTCCCCCCCCCAAACCTTCTGAATTACTAACCAATATTATATGTTGGGTATTTATTAACATAGAAACAGAAAGAAAACAATCCTTAAGATATACTCAGTATAATGAAATGGATCTGTAGAATATAAAAGGAACTGTAACTTACCACAGGTTTCACCTTTGTTGTTTCACAACATTTTATATGCAGGTAATATATATGTATGTTTAATTTTTTTGGATTAAGTATAGTTAAAACTAGTGCAGGTGGATGGGTTTTTGTGTGTGGGTTTTTTTTAGTTGCAGAATGGCACTGCTAAACAAAGGGAACAATGGATTGCCCGAAGCCCTAAGAAAGCCTTTTAAGTATTTGAACACAGTCCTGGATATTTCCATGCTAAATATTTTGCTGCTTAAGCAGCCACCTGTTCTGTTCCCTTTAGCTGCCCTTACTGAGGAGAAATGTTTAGGAAAAGCATCTGGAAAGTATTAACAGTAATGGTCCAAGAATAAAATTATGCACAAGTGATGAGGGCGAGATGCTTAGGCAGATAATTAGGCAGATGCTTCCAAATTTAACAAACTACCCCCCAAAGACAGTGGCCCTGCTCCAGTTAAGGGAGTAGGTGTAAAAGGCTTCTGCATCCATATCACTTACCTGGATGGGGAACAAAGTGTGTGAATGTGATTCCCTGGCCCATTTCTGCACCTGGTGCTGCGCACATACAGCCTTCCTCCCCACGCCCCAAATCCCACATATCAGCTATTTACAATAGACAAAGTTTCCCATTTCTTGTCAAACCACTTTTAGTAAGATTTTGCTCTTTTTTTATCAAGGGTTGCACAGCTGTAAACCTGCCTTTTTTGAATTAGCACCAGGAGCCTAAAGATCAATTTAAGGGCATCTGTCTTTGCTTCTGTAGTAAGCAACACATGGGGGGGGGGACCTGGTGTGATACTAGTCAAAGAATAGAATGAAGGGAAACAAAACTTTGTTATCCATTGTGCAACCATGATATACTCTCCTGGCTTTGGAAGCACACACTGCCTCCAATAGCGGAGGCAGAACAGAGAGCTAATGCCATAGTTTAGCTGTATGAAGAAGCACTTTCTTTTGTCTGACCTGAATCTTCATTGTGTTCCCCAGTTCTGGTCTTATGAGAGAGGGGTGGGATTCTCTATTCACTGTGTCCATACCATGCATAATTTTCTACACTTCCATCACATTGCCTCTTCCTTACCTTTTTTGCTAAACTTAAAAGCCCAAATTGTTGCAAACCCTCCTCCTGGAGGAGTTGCTCCATCCCCTTGATAATTTTCATTGCCCTTTTCTGAACCTTTTCCAACTGCACAACATCCTTTTCAGGATGAGATTGCTATAACTCTACACAGTATTCCAAGTGAGGTCAGACCATAGATTTGTACAATGGCATTTCTATTTCAATTCCTTTCCGAATGACATCTAGCATGGATTTTTCCCTTTTCACAGCTGCTGCACACTGGGGCTGGATCTAGACACATCAAAAAGTGTTTCAGGAAAACGCATTGCAAACCTCAAACTGGGAAATCATGTTGGCAAAAGACAGAACTCCACACCGCCATCTGGTGTCACGGTGTTATAACACATATAAAAAGCTTTTTCTTTACTAATGCACCTGAGTCCTGGGTCAAACATCTGCATTTAGCTATCCACCATGATCCCATTCCTGGTCAGTCACTGCCAGTACGGACCCCATGACACCATCCCAAGCACTGCTTTTTCACACAGAGTGTGGAAGATACAGAGAGCCTACATCTTTTATCTTGCAGATGAAAAAGCAGCTTGGCAAGAGTATTATTTCTGACTTGGAGAAAGGCCACAAAGTATAAATAGTTAAACAACATCTCTCCACCTGTCCTTATTCCACAGATAAATGTATCCTAAAATTCCCAAGTCATTTATACATGGAATAGAGCCATAATTAAGCAAAACCCCAAGCTTTTAAACAATGGCATGCTTACTGGAGTGTTTTCCCGACAAATTGACTGCTTGTGAATCTCTAAAAATGGGACATTTTTCATCAAGGAAATTAACAAAACACAAAAGCTTGGATCAATCCAGTTACAGTAAATGGAGAAGGTTGTTTAGAAGCAGAAAGCTCAAAAGTAAGGTTTACATCTGTATTTCACTCAAAGAATATGTTTTTCTACAGCTGGTAAAGCCAAGGGCAATAGTGTAGATTTGGGTTTTTCCTCCCAAAGCTGTCTGCTTGATTCATGCCTTCATCAAACATTTCTTGCATTGTTCCACCAGCACCAATTGTGCTGTTAGCTGTTGCATCATGCTTCACTTAGCTAAGCTGCCTTTTCCTTGTCCATTTATCCCTGCCCCCTCCCCGCCGTCAATAAGCTGCAAGGCTTAATGATCTTCCGGCAGGCACAGGTCATAAGATTTCTTCATGGACAAAACTGGCTTTATTTCTAAGCTACAAGTGTCAGGATCAATGTCATTCAAACCCCTGGGCCCATGGAGCAGTTATCACTGAATGAAGTATAATAAATGTGTCAGAAAGCACAATCTAGTTTCTCCTGCATGTGAAAAATCAGATTACTATAGGGGGAAACAGACAATAGACTAAATCCAGGGAATGTGTTACTGACACTATGTTTATCTAGGGACAGGCATTAGGACTGTGAAGTTTATATGATGATCAGGGGACAGTACATCATCATGCATCGAAGACAGAAGAATTAGCAGCGCTGTAACAGTTTGCAACAAGGCAGGACATATATTAGTTTTGTGGCACATCACTTAAGCTTTTATGCTCATTTCTTCAACTGAAATATTTAATGCTAAATTCCTTAAGTGGGTCCATTATGCTTTCTCTCTCTACTCCCATTATCTGTTTCAAAGGAAAAACATGACCAGCCCTTTTTCTATTCATAACTTTTCCCATAACTGACATGGAAAATTCACAGTAAAAATGAAACTGACAATAAGGGGGTGGGATACTTGTGAAGAGTGGGGGGGGGGGTCTACCCCAGCATTTTATCCCTGAAAATATTTCTATTTGAATGAATTCACTAATATTTAGCTGAAATGTTCTATATTTGATAAATAAACCACCAATGGTGCAATGTTCACAGGTACTTAAATTGGTGTATGGTTTGTGAAATGCTCTGAAAGGTCTCCAGTGGTAAGGTAAATTGTGACAAAGGAGGTAGGCTCAAAAAGCATGGTATTTTTATTTTATTATTTTGTTTAGCACATTTCTATTCCCACTTTCCTCCACCATAGAACTCAAAGTAGTGGGCATGGGATTCCCAGAAGGTTTCCCATCCCATCACTGAATAGACTCACACATGAAAAACTCAGCTTCAAAATGTGCTTTCAGATGAAAATATGGGGACTTGTGGGCAATGTCTTTTATAATTTTTGTTTTAAATCTCTTTGCTTAATATAAACCATGCAACATTTTCAGGACTTGGTTAAATACATAAATGTAATTAATATTACATTTCTTTATTAAACACTTTTAAATATACATGTTAGGAAGATCTAAGGAAGTATTTTTTTAGCAATGACAGGTATCCTAAGATACTCTTTAGCAAGAAGACCCCCCCAGACCTGAAGAGAAGACTTTCAGGGCTGCAGAGAGCTACAGGAGGAAGAAATAAAGCCTCTTTCAATGAACAGCACTTTTTCCAAGGGACCAAACTGTCCAAAGCCTGTTTAATTGAGCATAAATCTAATAGTTTGCTGCAGCTTTACACATGGTTCCATGAGTGTCTAAAGACAGACAGACAGACAGACAGACAGAATGAGAGAGAGAGAGAGAGAGAGAGAGAGAGAGAATGTTGCGTAACATTTATTTTCTTCAATAATTTCTTTTAAATAACACTCAAAAGAAATCTTATTTATATATCACTTGGTGGTGGGGGAGATAACAAAAGCACAGCACTTTGGACAATCCACTTAAAAGCCCAGCAACTTCTACCACAGTAAATTATGTTCAGTTTGTTTTTTGGAGTGCTGAATGGCATTGTTTATGAATGTGGAAGATGAATTTGTCTCAAGTTTCCTTTTTATCTACAGAACAGAAGCCAGCTCAGTAGTTAGCTGTGACACTTCTAAAGAGGCAACAGCAACAAAAGGAGCTTAACATGATTGTTTCTCATTGCTTATTTGTGTGATGGTATGCATATTTTAGTCACAAGGCTGTTCATGTTCAATCTGGCATGAAATAAATTGAGAGTATGATTTCATTACAAATAACATCAAGTACCTTCTTAATATCAAAGTATATAAAATCTACTTGCTTTTTTCCATTAAGTGCACACAACTCTATAAAATTGCAATCAGATTTCCTAGTTTTATTGTTTATCTGATCTGAGAGCTGTTATGTAGTGAGTGATACTTGAACTGAAAAAAATAATACCTGAAAGAAACTGTCCTTTTAATATAGACATAATTTGCTTGCTGATGAGGACTTTATTTTTAATTCAGAAGACTATTAGTCCACCCAACTAAATCTTAACTTTGCCTTTTGTTCAACACCATTAGTTATTTTATTTTTAAAAAAGCTGCACAGATTTGTTTCATAGCTACTTGGTAACATTTTCAGTTTGAATGAAAGAACAGAAAGTAATAAAATAAAATAAAAATAGCTCTACATAAAGTTCCCAAAGATCTGTGTATTTTCCAAGTAAAATTGGAATTGAATCTCCCACTACTCCACTGCCATTCATTCCACCATACTTAATGTTCATTCAGAGACATTTGTACCAATTACTTTTATGTTTGACAGAGAAAGAGGAAACAGAGTTCAGCAGTGAAATGTTAGTTTCAGCTATGTAAAGAGTTTGGGGAACAGCAAGCCTCTGAATCCAAATTTTAACCATAACTTTGATGGACATCACTAAAATTGAAACATCCAAGCAAATGACTTGGACAAGTTTAATGATGATCAGACTTTTTCACTTTTTACATTGAAGCTGATATAAGGAATTTCACCTGTTTTTCCCCATATGAATTATCTTCCTAGTGTCTAGACCTCTTTTATTTTCTTGTTAAGTTTCCATCAAAAAATACCTATGAAGTTATTTTCATTTCCACAAATCAGGAGGGGGATAGTTCTGTTTGTTCAGTGTTCAAAATACTTTTCACAGAACACAAACTATCACATTACTGCCTAATAGGAATACTATTTTCTTTTATGAAGCTGCAGGCTCACTCAGTAGTTTGCTTAGGGCAAGTGCCAGCCCATGGGAACAGCTCTTCCATTGATCTGCAGACTCTTCCATAACCTGGCAATTGATAGTGATGGTGGAGATAGACACACATTTTAAATGTAGTGTCCATTTCCATTAAATGTAGTGCAAACAGAACCCGTGCATGAAATGGTTGTCACCTGTACAGGCATGATCTTCTGAAGTTTCTTCCAAGAATGTGTATAATATATTTTAAATGTTCTCTCAGTATTCCTCAACATAACTCAGATAGGCAAGACACCTGCTAGTTATAGAGATTACTTTAAAAGCGTTATACAAGCTTCTATTACTTCCCTAGGATTGCATAAACTAGCACTCAGACAGCACAAAGCAGGCAAATATTGTGTAGAAAAGGCAAAGCGAACAGACTCCAAAAAAAATTCTTGCACTTCCCTTGGCATAACAGCCACAATCTCTTTCAAAAGCCAAGGACACAAGCATTATCTACAAATAAGTATATTTATAACTCAGATATCACTGTGTATCTTTCCCATTTTATCTGGATTTGACATTTATATTTGCTAGTTATCCAGTCATTAGCGAACTTGGATTGTTGCCAACTGAAAAGGGGGAAAAAACCCATAAAATCATAGGGCTGGAAGGAATCCAAAAACAATCTAATCTAACCACTGCATTAAGAGTGCATTCAGAGAGAGATATGGCACACATACATTATTTTTCCTTGCTGTGCATGTAGCCCATGCCATTGATTAAGGTAAAACCCTATAAATCAAAATGTATTGCTATATGCCCATAACAAAGCATTGGAAAGCAACCCAATTTGTATTTTCTGGTGGCATGCATTGGAGCATGCAGAAGTAAAACTCACAGCACAGAGTAACATACATAGAGTGGGAACATGGTTGAATAATGCATCTCTGAATCACCCTAGCATAGGATTTTCTATAGCCAAAACTCCACTGTGGTCAACTGAGCCTCTTTTTATATCTTCTGAAGCATTACAATATGCAAATACTGAGGTGGTTATCAATAGCATCACAGTACCATCCTCACTTTGAGTCACAGTGACCCTTTCCAAATACAAAATTTAGTTCTTCCACGCAGTATTATTAGTAGAATTTGTAGTATTAGTAGTATTTAAGGTCTAAGCAGTGGAGTTAGAGGAGTAGCAGCACTTGAAGGAGATACTGGCCCACAAACCTCAAACCCTTTTGGCCCACAAACCCCCAAACTATCCCAGCTGTTGTGCCTCCAGCGGAGTCTGCCTACCAGGAAACCTCAGTTGGTGCAAATCCAAATATGCTTGGTGATGCTTGCCTGACTCATCCTGCCAGCTGCACGAGAAGGATGCTATTATAAACTCTTTTTCTGCCTCTCACTTGCAGTCACATAAAATCCCAGGAAAACACAGGCAAACATCCACATGCTCTGAGCAATCTTCCCTTCACCCAGCAGGCTTTGCTGTGGCAGTGAGCGGCCCTTTTCAATTAGCAAACAAATTACAATGTTTTAATTTCTTTTCATAATCTCTGGTAGAAATACATGGGCTCGTCATTAAAAGATAATTACTCATTCGGTAAATCAATTCAAGTTTTGAACATATATTAAACATATTTTTTATTTTTAAGATTACATTTGAGGCCTCCTGCATCAGAAGATATACCTCAGTTTAAAACTGCTGTAGGAAATATGAAAGGGGAGTTCACTTACTGCATTGTGTACCCAACCACTTTTAGCCATCTGCCTCTTCCTTTGGTTTGTACTTTGCTAAATCACTACCAGGCTTTCATCTCAAAATGTTGCAACATGTATTGGACAAACATCAAGTACACAACAATTTACATGAAGAAAACTTTCCCATCTGTTGCTATAAATGTGGAGGGGAGTTTCAATAGTGTCTTTCCTGCCCATACAGTCTTTGTAACAGAATCTGCAATATATAATATTTTAAGTATTTAAATTCTAAGTGCTCAAAGGGCACATACCCAAACATTGGAAAGCAGCCTCTGTATAATCCCAAATTCTGCTAACCACATACTTCTCTCCCAATTCCACAGTCAACTGACTAACTACTAACAGCATATCAGCAGTGATAAGATAAACACCTTTCTGCTCACCTCTTTCTGCTCAGGGGCAGGAGAAGGTTCTCTGAAATTCTTTCACATTATGTCTCATTGGCAATTTTTTAAACCCTTTTTAGCTAGTGTTCTTTGGCAAAAATTTGTTAGTAAGGCAGTTAATTGTATTTTTTAAAAAATCCTCTCCTTACCATTCTTTACGTGAGACTATGAAAAGGAGCTGAGCACCACAAATACAACATATGGACGACACATATGCTTGATACCACTGCTTTTGATCAGTGGTTCAAACTCCCCACCACCACCACCACCAGACCACCTGAAAATTGCTGAGGATCTTGGCAGATCATTTAATGATTTCCCGCCTATCTGTTGTTTCACAATTATGTTGTGCTAGATGCTAAAGTATTTTTTTAATGTATGAAATTCAAATTTTAACACAATAAAATATAGTAAGAAATAAAAGAAGCAATTTAAATACAATCAAAAATCAATATGAATATTTTAACATGATGGATGTGCCTGTTATGCTAAAGTTCTTCAATATTCAGAGTAAGAATTGTCATCTTGAATCTTTGGTCGGATTTAGTATTCATTCTGCTTCTATCAAAGTACTAACTCTCCACTCCTTTCAAGCACCTCATCAGCTTCTTTTCACTGTTCGCAACCTTCCCACA